GTGCCAATGGAAGAATTTTCTGCCTAAATCCTGTCTGTTAGTATTGCAGAGCCCCCAATAAGCAAAAATATTTTTTCATATTCTACTTTGAAAGCTTCCACTGCTCTCAATAGCTCACTTTTAAATAAGTATCTTATGTTTAACCTAATGAATAATGGAGGAGACAAAGTTCTCCTGAGTTATATACTGATTTAGTTAATTTCTGTCACACAATACCTCATATTACAGGAGAGGATTAGTACCCTTCCTATTTAGAGTCACAGCATAAGCGAATGGTTTTTTAACAAGACATACCAAATCCCACCAGTTACAAGTTCTTTAAGGCTTGTTCACTGGCATTTAAGCGAAAAGAGAAAACCTGTACCACCCTCTGGTTTACCTTATCAAAGCTGTAATACTGTAGATTTCCTAGCAAAAGTTCAAATTGCAAGAACATCTTTCCAAAGGGAACAATATCAGTTCAGAGCTCATATAATTACTTTTTATAGTGAATTTTTATTTCATTTGAAGGTGATCTTGAATATGCTACATTTTATTGTAGTGAATTTCTGAAAACTTTTATTTTTTAAATAATGAGCCAAGACTTTTTTCTCACCTCTTACTATAAATCTGTTTATCTGTGAGGTTAAATGCAGCTTTAAGTACATAGCAAATTTTAAATAATACTAGGATTTGCTACATATAATAGACAAAAACAAACAGTAGTGTAAAACTTTGCTTACTCTAAAGTCTAACATAAAAGAAAAATTAAATACTAACCTTTAAAAATCTACCATTTTCATAATTGCTCAAGCTATATGCCCCACAACATTTAAACATAGAACACTAATGCAGAGTATTTGCTACTTCAAAACAGAGTGGAAAGCCACCAGTGGCCATTAAGCATCTCCCTCCAAATTTCTGCATCTCCTAACTAATGTCCACTTTCTTTTCTCTCATGAGCTGGCCTACTAAAATCAGTGAGGTGGTTTACATAGCCAGAGCATGAATCCATTCCATTGCTAAGTAGTGAGAACATACAGAAAATTAGAGAGAGCTTAAAATGTGTCTTTATACTTTGTTTCTTTGTAAAAGAAATGCTTCTCGCACTCACAGGCACAAAACTTTCTAAATGAGATTTACTGTATCAGTGTTTGCAGAGTAAAGAAAAAACAGGCTAGCTCCTCTGTGCTCCAAAAGAATTAACCAATTATTCAGAAGAACAGGGAGAGAAGTTACAAAAATTATGTCAGTTTTGCTATAATAAGATCCTTTCCATGCAGCACAGAACACAACTGATATGTCACACACCAGCAGGTTGCCTGCTTATAGATAAGATTTACCTCATACACCTATGCTTAACTCCTGAGCTTAGAGCCCTGAGAGCCACATAGACAGCCAGCTGCCCTCTGTTCTTGAGCTTCAATGCCAGTCCTCCTTTCTGGGTACAGCAGCTCTAAAGAGCACTAGAGCAGGGGACAGAGAATTCTCCTTCCACCTTGACTCAACCTCCAGGCTACATTAGGAGCAGGTGGCAGAATACAGAACTGGAAAGAAATAAAAAGAAGTTTCCCACTGCAACCACTTTAGGTTTATCAGTACTGCTGGATAATCTAAGTGATATGAAGTAATGAAGAAGACAGGTCATGAATGTAGAGGAACATGCATCACTTAATATGCTCTGGGAACAAAGACTGCACATTCCACTAATCGAACATGAAGTTACAGATGTTAAAACCAAATATCCATTCTCAAATATCAAGTATATCAATATGAATTCTGTTTTTCTCTTGACTACTGGGAAAAAAAAAAAAAGAAGGAAATAATAATTAAAAAAAGTTATTCTCTCACAGTTAAGCTATCTTCCCTTACCTTTCTCCTGCCAAAAAAAGCTCTTCCTGCACACTAGGAAGGAAGCCTTCACGGAACAAAATTGGGCAGTACGTCCATGAACAGATGCACAGAAGAGAAGACCTGCACAGAGCAGCTGCTATAAATTCTAATACTTTGAAATCCTAGTACTTTGAAACTCTTTAAAAAACACAGGTTGCACTGAGAAAGGCTCAAAAAAAAAAAAAAAGATTCTTTCACAGGAATGAAAGTGAGGGTACTGGAAGGGAAATTGGACTAGTAGAAAAGCACTGAAAATTAAGGGATTGTAACTTTCATGCAGCATTTCCTGCATTACTCTACACTTTCTACAATGGGTAATCCAATTTAGACACTAGGTCTCACTGAGAAGGATAGTATCACAGAAGAACATAAGCACATGGCTAAAGAAAGCAGAAGACAGAAATTACAAGGAAAAACACAAATTATTAACAAGTAGATAAATTCTGGTGAAGCAGAAATGTGTACACTTTAGAAGAGCACAACACAATATACAGAATTATTGGGCCAGTAGAATACACATTAAGAAGCTCAAATGAACTATACATTAATCATCCAATACTGGCACTGATTTATCATGCTTAGTGCTCAAAATTACATTTAGATAATCCTCAGGTCATCCAAAAATCCTACTGTTAAACATGGACACATTAGAAGACAACTGCTAACCATGTAACAAACCCCTTAAGAATACACTGGTAACTTCCACGCCTGGAATACAAAGTGCAGTATCAATGGAAAAAAAATACCAACACCACCAAACCAGTGATTTGATTCCTGAAAAGTCTCAATGCTTATATAAAGATACTTAGAAAACAGTATTAAAAGCAGTCTAATTTTGACTACTTGACATTAGTAAGTCATATAGCAATACCCTTTTGAAGCAATAACCTCACCTCCTGAAATAGTTCGATAATAAAGAACAAATTAAAAATTATTTAGATTCACAGGTCATGTTGGCAGTCACCATGCAGCATACCTATATGCACTAAATTGTGGCAATAGTTTTACAGAAATTACAAATTACTCTTAGGGAGAAATTGCAGAGCAAGAGCAGGCCCATAAGAAAATGTGAAGGATGCTTAATACAAACAAAGAGCATAAGCTGTGACTTTTCAAGAAAAATAACAGATCAAGGAAGGAACCAACAGGTAAAACAGTATTAGAAAAAAACATGAGCAGATTAATGCAGAAATCTAAAGACTGTCAAGATCTATGAGGCAGTAGGAACCAGAAATACTTGAAAACTGTGAATTTATGTATTGCATTACCAGTGGAATACGGATCCTTCCCAGGGAAAGATTGAAAGTGCAAGGTGAAAGCAGCTATTACAGATGTTAGTGCTTTCCAGTTCGAATCAGCAACCGTTTCCTTATAATAATGATAAACTGGCTATGGACACCTTCATCACCTTGCAAGTGCCACGACAGATTCTGAAATATTTTCTTAAAAGGATTGAATCAGACAGTTGGGGTGGGTGGGATGAGGGTTTGGCTTGTTTGATTTTGGTTTTCATAAAGAAAAAAAGAAGCCAAAAAGTCCAATCAGATCCTTCTCATGCTAGAACAGAATGACACAGGCTCCAGATTAAAAGAAACTTGCTCCATAGTTATAGAATACACAATGGAAAAAGCCTCCTCTTTTGCACTTAAGATGGCACACAGGAGTCACCAAGTTCTGAAGCTGAAGAGTCAATGGATCTGTTGCAGCATCAAAGGAATGTACTAGGAAGTAAAATGTATCAGCGGCAAGGCCTGATCTTTTTCTGACAGACTTATTTTCCCTATTACAGACACTCATATCTCTGTATGTCTTGGAAGCAGGTTTCTACACACAGTAACTTACCTGGCAAATGAACCCAAATTCTAACCTTTCAAGACAGCTTTGTAAGGAGACTAGAAAAAGAGAACAAGCATATGTGTATGCATGCACGACTCACACATACATAACACAAATTCTAATTTCATTAGCACTAAAGCAATAAAGCTAAGTCTAAGCTCCTTAGACATATGCTGTCACAGTAAGTGGTTTTCCAAGTTGCAGAAGTACTGGACTCCATGAACGCACTGACCCAACTACATTGCTTTACCACCATTTCTTCTCTACAACAGCTTGATTTTTAACTACATTACAGACTGTCCTGAAAAGAAAGAGATTTCACTGGAGAATTTAAAGCCTAAGTTCACACTGGCTTTTCTTCCACTTATTGCAAGTTACACATAGCTTCAGTTTCCTCAGCCACACTTGTGGTAAGAATAGTAATGTTCACTCAGGAATCATGGGAAAGAATTTCTGGTTTACTTATTTTCTCCCTCTCTCCAAAGTAGGCACTGCACTTTAAAAACTACTTTTCTTATTTCTGTTGATTTAAAAGACAGCGCCACTCCTTTCCCCATAGAACCCAATTTGGTTTCTCACCCAAATCTGAACAGAGAGCCTTGTAACATGTCCCCTGTAATTCTGCTGCTGTTGGTAGTAACCAAACTGTGGCAATGAACACCAGTGCAGAGAGCACATTCTGTCACACACGTCCTTTGATAGTAGCCTATGGTCATTTGCAAATGTCTTTGACAATTCTGAACACAGTTCTGGAGAGGAAGTGTATGCTCACATATGACCTCTTTTTCAGATTTCAACTAGAGAGGAGCACCATGTAAAGAATTACGGGTTTGGAAAGCCCTTCTTCCCAACACACAGGGGCAATGGTATGGCAGGCTGGATTACAACCTTGTCTCAGCCACAGAAGAAAGGCCTAAACTTTTAAGGCTTCACTGATGTAAGATCTACTTGGTGTCCATAACGCCTTATGAAGGGATCTGAGAGCTTTTATTTGGACATATGGCATAAGATGGGAACACGTTATTTTGTTCCAGCTTCACAGGTCACAGAAGGTGATAAGGACTCTCCTCCCAGCAGCAGTTTCAGTGAGCTGCAGCTTGCCGTCGATGACCGTGTGCGTGTCCAAGTGATTTTGCACAGTGTAGGGCCTGGAACTGGGGGCACCTGCTGGAGCTGGCGGAGCTACCCCTGCGGCCCCTTGCCTGCCCGCAGCGAGCTCTCAGGCCAGGCCCCGGAGCCCGAGCCGCCCGCCCCGCGCTGGGCAGCGGCCCCGGAGAGCAGGAAGCACTTACCTAGGGAACTTCTCCTTCAGCTTTCTCAGGCTCTGCCGGGTGGGCTGCATGTGCCCCAGGAACTGCGCTATTTCATCGTACTGAGCTTTGGTTAGCTTCATGCTTCGCGCCGCCCAGCCTCAGGGCGCCGGGAGGAACGAAGGGAACGAACTGCACCGCTGCAGCCCCGGGCCCCGCGAAGCAGACGGCCAGTGACAAAAGGGTCAGGGGTCACGGTAACCCCAGGAAGCCCTTTGCTACAAAGACGGTCCCAAAGCACTCGGAGAAAGCGGTAGCCACTGTTTCCCGGAGCTCCGCCCCGTGGCTCGGCCGGAGGGGGGGCGGGGAAAGCCGCCATCCCGCGTTGTTAGGATCTGCGCAGCCGCTCAGGCGGGAGCGGGGAAGGCGGTATAGCCGACCGCGGAAATGGCGTTTTGTGAAGGACAGAGAGGGGTCTTCTCTGTGTGAAACGTAGGGGTTGCCTCGCTTGGGGGCGGAGGAGGATCCTGGTGTCTCACGGCCGGTGTCATGCACGCCTTTGCGCCCTACAAGCCGCTGCTTGTGTTGGCGCTGCGAAGGCGGAAGGCGCTAGGAAGACACTGGGTATTGCTGGTCCGGGCTGCGTGGGCGGTGGGCACACGCTGCGGCTGCCCGGGGTAGGGGATGTAAGCCTCGCCGTGTTACAGTTTTAGAGTAGTGATTTTCAAGGCCGTTTCCAAAAGTCAGTTTGAAATGCCTTTTTTTTTTTTTTTTTTTTTTTTTTTTTTCTCTGGTTTAAAGAGAAAATCACTGCTGAAGTAGTGGGGCTGGGGCTGCAGACCCCGACTTGGCCCGAGCGGTCTGTAGCCTTGCACATGTACCCAGGAGTGGCTCCCGTGCAGTTTTAGAAGAAAACCGTACAATTTTGTGATTGGATTCACTTTAAAGTTAATAGCAAATGATATTATTAAATACTGTTAAAGTGTCAGTAAGTATGTTGCAAACCTTAGTTTCTGTTCCATGTTTTTACATGGGTATGCGGTTTTATAAGCAACATACAAGAACTAGAGGCTATAAAGAGAACCATGTGTTTGGCTGAGAAATACAAATATTCCCTTTAATTTCACTTTAATCTCATTCATGAACTGTGTACAGCTAGTGGAGCCATAACCTTGAGTTTTCTGGCACTTAGTCCTTGAAACTTGCTTCAAGTCTTAAGAAACGGTTTATTTTTATTTATATAGATACTAGGTTCTGTTCACTTGCTTTCTCTCTTGAAAGCTTTAGGATCAAATTTTAAGTGTTTGGGGGGTTGGGTTTTGGTGGTTTGTTTCTTTGTTTAAATCTTATCCAGAAACTACAAAGATTCTGCAAAAGTAAAAACAAATAGCATGGGTATGTCAGCCGGGTTAGTCATTTAGGAGTGAGATTGGTTTCTAATAGATTGACAATCCCCAGTGAACCCTTTGTCGCTTGGAGGATTTTTGTTTGGAACCGGAGCCTTTCTGGGAACAGCTATTTCCAGTACTATGGCCTAAATATAAATGTTTGAAACTCATTAGTTGCTCCACAGTAAAAGAAAATCCAGTGAAGATAAACCAAATGATAGATTCCATTCCTCACTCAGAGACCAAAAAAAAAAGAAAAAAAAGCCAACCACGTGAACCTGAACGAAGAGCATTATTTTAAAGGAAAGTATTATTTAATGTAAAGATTATTGTCTTTAGCTCTAGCACATAGTATCCTTGGTAGTAGGAGATAATGTGTTTTGGAGGGATGTGTTTCTTTCAATCTGATGTCTGCTTTGAAGGGTATAATTTTCTTGGGCCGTAGAAGGGGTCATGTTCCCCTACCTTTCCAAAGATGAGAATTATGACTTTTACTTTTGAAATAGATCTAAAAAAAAAAAAAATTACATTCTTCTTTACTACCAGTACTACTGCTCCTTTAGAAAAAAATCAATATTGCTTCTTAGTGAAAAAAAAAAAGGAAAAAGTGACAACCGAACAGCAGTTTGCTGACTTTGCTGTGTCATAATTTCCAGAGGAAGTTTGTTTGTTTGTTTGTTTAGCAAACCATAATGCTCATATCTATAACCTCTATCTCTGTTCACTTCACTTACTAGTATATTTCTTGATTTTTTTTTTTATTTATAAGTCAAATAACACTTCCATCTGCATTGCAGAGAAATGAAACAGATTAGAAGAACTGCAGGATGAAGTTATCAGTGTATGGACCAAACTGCAAACATCTGATGTATGTATTATGTGTATGTTGAATATAAATTTTGTAGACTGTTCTACTGGAACAAGGTTTTGTAGATTTCCAGGTTATTTAGGGAAAAAAAAAACAAAAAAGGTAACCTTCTAGCATGAAGGTTCACTGAAATGAAGAGGAGCTGACACCATGCTGTCATAATGAGGTAATGGCCTTCAGAGATGTGAACTGCTGGTTTTTTGTCATAAAGAAGCATTTTGCATGATGAAACGTAAAACAGATGAGAACTTCTGTATGCAAAGTATAAGCCACTCTGCCTACATTAGTTAATACAAAACTATTCCAAGAAAATGCTCAAAAGTACACTGAGAAAAAATGAGATGCTTCTAGGAGAAAGAGTTCATTAAATACTTTTTTTTTTTTTTTTTTCCCCAGAAATCAAACTGCCATTGCAGTCTTACTATATAGAACATCAGACCATGTGTAATTAAGCTGTGAACGTGTATTGTAAGATGTTGCGGTAGTGAGTTCACTAAATAACTGAATGAAATACGTCAGAAAAAACCCACAAAAGTATGAAGATCTTCAATTTCCTTTGGCTCAGGCAGTTTCAGAGCTGCAAAAGGTTGCATGGTGGGGAAGCGTTCTCAAGAAGTAGCTATGTGCTTGTGTTCTACTTACATTGTTTCATTGGTATCTGTCTGCGGCAGCTGCTCTTCATTTTTCCTTGGGGTTAGGTTCTAGTCCATCAATTATATAAACTAAATTTCCTTCCAAGAAGGAAGAGGGCTAAAGAGAAAGAAACTGGGAAAAAGAAGTGATTGGGAATGAGAAATGTAGGGGGGGGGGAAGGAAGAGGACATGTAAACTGTAGAGAGGATATAAAGGCAGGGAGACAGAAAAACACCTGGTAGAAGACTTCCAGTAATGACCAACATTCCTTGCAGGTTGTTTTGGCTGCAGTAGGTGCAGGACAGTAGTTAACAAACCATTGGTCTGTTTTTTTTTATTGTGTTGAATAGTTTTAACTGTGCCATTACTAGATGCCTCACATTACCTTAAGAAGGTGATTGCATAGTGTGATTTACAGCCAAGTTTAGAGTTAAAATATCATTCATTATTCTCCATAGAAGAGTAGGCAATTATAGTATGATATTATGAGGAATCAATTCATGCACAAAGTACAAATTTTGATTTGATTTTTATGATCTTACAGCTGTTGCTTTACTTTACCACCCTGTTTCTTCATAGACACAATCTTTGATCAGTGCTGCTTTCTGTAACAAAATTAATGCAATGACTGACAGTAGTCATATATGTGTTCTAATCTGTTGATTTAGATGCTTATGTGGAGAACTACAGCAAGACTAGAATCTCCTTTGCAACTGATTATAGTGCTTGCTGCAATTTCTTAATTCTTGTAATATTCCTACTTCATTCTCTTTGGTGCGCATATTTCTATAACTATTCTTCAGTCTTTTCATATATTTTGCCTTTTTTTTTTTTTGTTGTGAAACTCAGCTCTTCTTATTTGGCATTTTTGTAGTTTGAGACAAAACTTGAGCATGCTTCCGCTTAACTTGGTAGTACCTCTGTCTGTAACAGGTCTCATAAACACCTCCACAGGGTATGGTAGAACCCTCAATTTATTATCTAATTTATATCCATAGGTTTTAATGTACTTTCTGAAAGAGATTATATTGTGAAACAAACCATGATATCTTCAGCATGTATTAAACAAATAAAAAATGGAACAATTGGTCTGCATCACATTGACTGTTTTGCCAATTCACAAGATAATAAGTCACCATGAGTTTCTTTTTTTTTTTTTCTGAAAGTGTTCATGGGATTGCTTGATACCACAACAGTGTGAAGAACAAGACAGCAATAGAATGATTATACATAGCAGAATACCAATTAAAGAAGTCAGGCAGGCATAGTTTTTCTTCCATGTCTTCAGATTCTTTCCTCATAATAACAGAAGTCATTGAGGCAAATTAATCTGGTTTTCTGTACTGTTAGTATACCCAATATATCTTTCTTTAAAATACTTATTTGGTTCTTGAAATGATTAAAAAAAAAAGAAGTCTGCATTCACAGTGTTTTGAAAACACTGCTTTATATGCACAGAGCCTGGTCTATGGTCAATTGTAAGTCCATCAATTTTAATGGACTTGTGCCACTTTTATGGTGCTAAACTGCATGTTTATGTATTTTCTGTAATGAGCTCTAAAAGATTTTTGAAAATGATGAATTATTTAAAAATCAATTTCTATGACTAAGATGGTAACATGCCCTAAGTGTTCTGACCCTGCCACTTGATTCCACTGTAATTCCACATGATGAAATTTCTGGAGTTTGAATTTGCCTTTTTAAGCTTTCAGTAGTCAGATACAGAAACCTATATGAAAATACCTTTCTGGTTTCAAATTCAATTATTTAAAGTTAATTTCCCCTTTTTGTCTCTATGTGTTAAAATACCACTAATTACTGCTTTGTCCCTGAGAGATTTCAGCTTTATTCATTGTAGAGAGAAAACCCTCCAGTTGTGTGATGAATTACATTGTTTTCTGTAGGCCCTTTGCCTCATTTGTTGAAGAATTTGAAACATGTACTGGGTGAAGGAAGCAGGAACTGTAGACAGAAAATTGAAGTGTAAAGATAACATAACTGCTGCCCAGGAAATACTGATTCTCTCCTTGGTTCTGTTACAGACTTCTTGTGTCAACTCAGACATCATTTGATTGAATTTTCTTTCTATGTGGCTTTTTTTTTTGACACAACATGCATGTAATTCCGTGCCAGGCATCTAATTTAGTTACATAGGTGCCACAAGCTGCTGGCTAAAGAGGTCATCCCAATCTGCTTTGGCCAGTTTCAGAATAATACGGCTGATTGTATGCATGCATGGCCAGGCAGATCAGCTGATCCACCTGATAACTTGTCATGCAAAACTCCTTTCTCCCCCCCACCAGTATTATTTTTCAGGTAAATTAACTTGTGACTCCAACTCACTGAACAGCCTTATAAATGGTGCCAGCACATGGGAGGAAATAGGTGTGCATAGGCAGAGACAGCAGGGCTACCTCTTTCTGTCAATGGTAACAGAACCTTGGAGGATTACCCTCACAAATTAGACATCTAAATTAGGTGCCAATCAGTAAGCAGTATGATTATCCTGAATATATTCTGCTAAGAATTTACATTTGAGAGCCTCACAGCACTAAATGGTAAGCATTGTCAATAGAACTGAATTTAGTGAAAGTTGTACCTTTGACGTACAGAATACTACTGAACACAGTACTCTGAAAAATCAGGTCGTAGGCATATTACACTGGAGAGCCCAAAGCAGTGGACAGTTGAAGTCTAAATCTTTCAAACTTAATTTCTCTCATACATATATCTGAATGAAAAAAGAAATATGCATACACACGTACACAAACGTATTCAAAAATATACACGAGAGAGCTTTTGAAATACATTTGCTAATATATATCTTCATGCTAGTGCTTACACAATAAGCTGCTATGGTGATAGGATTATTCTTGGTATGTATGACATGGACAGCATGTAGTAAAGAATAAATGAAGCTAAATTTTGAATTTAAAGATTAAAAAGTAGTACTGAAGGGGTGTGAAATTCTCTATGCAAGTGAGGCAAAGGAGGGAAAGATCAGAATTTTGAAAACTGTTTTGTAATACAGGTAAACAGAGGGACTGAATCAAGGTTGTACAACAAAATAGAACTCTTAAGCATGTAACATTTTTGGGGAAATTTGAATTATTTAAAGTTAGATAAGCTTTGAGGCGGTACATAGAAATAGATTTGGGGTGGATTTTGGTTTGTTTTTTTTTTTTTTGGTGCTTTTTTTTTCCCCCAGTAGTGAAATTTCAGTTGTCGCCTCTTATTTAGGGACTTACACTGAATAGCTGATATGTCTCTCACTTTTTCTTCTAAAATGCGTAGTACTTTATTGCCCAAAGATTCTCACCTCTGACATGTCTCTCACTTTTTCTTCTAAAATGCATAGTACTTTATTGCCCAAGGATTCTCACCTCTTATTACATACTGAGTATATCAATTATTTTCACCATTAAATAGTTGTAATATTCTTTGAATGATACCACAGAATCATAAAAATGTGTAATGCAGGTAACCTCAAGAGATTACATAGTCAACCAGATATTTGACTGATCTGGTATCAAGTATACAGTATCCAGTACTTTACTGTCTCATACCCAGGTATTTCTAATGTGTCACTGTACATTTCCATATTGAGGTTTTCATAGTCTCCATTGGTAACATGTTCCTGTATTTTACTTTGATTGTATTTGGAAAGCTTGTTTCTAGTATTTAATTCCAAGCCTGCTGATTGCAAATAAAACAACTTACTTTCCTCTGTGTACTTTGAAGAAAGGGGAGAATAGTAAATCACTGTCATTTTTACTTGTTTCAGGATCATTACAGTGCTGATCCACTTCTGTTTTTGTTTGGTACTGTAAGCAAGCCCAGTTCTTTCAGTCTTTCTTGTAAGTCATTTTTCTGAAAGGGTTGTAAATTTTTTGTTCTTCTGTCTGTACTTTGCAATATCTTAAAAGATTGGGCAACACTGCTTCAGCTGAGGCTTTTCTTTTTGCTGAGTAGAATAACTCATATTTTTTAAGCAAGATTCATGTGTACTGTTTCTCAAATTAACCACTGAAAAAATTTATGCTCTTCAGTTATGCTAGCTCATAGAAGCAGTGCCATTAAGGGAAAGTAAAGTATGCATAGCACAATGGACACACTGGTGTACCTTATAGTTTACAAATTATAAGACAAGAATCTGAAATACTTTAATTAATGGGTGAACATGGTAATATTTTTGATATTTTTTGCATGGAGGCTTATAATAGCATTACAGTTTCTTGAGGCTTCCATTTCTTCTAATACCCTTTCTAACACATGTAGAACATATTTGACGTTTATAATAATGGAATGATTAGGCATGTTACTGACATCAAGGTTTAAGGGACTGGGTGACTAGAGAATTTATGTTCCACTTTAATCCATTTATCAGCCTCCTCTGGGAACTGTTTTTAAATTTAACGCAAGCCATACGAACTGGGGGAAAAGCACCCTGCCTTATCCAGCAGCCTGGAAAACACATAAATGTATGAAATTGTTGTTAGTGCTCCCCCCACCTGCCTCTTTTTTAGTGAGGAGAATATTAATAGTAGCCGTTAATGACTTCTTTGCACATCGTATTGGTTTTTATTATTTAAAAAAAAATTATTCCATGGTAATAGTGCTGCTATTTTTGTGAGGGGAAAAAAGGTTTTGAGTGTATTTGAATTATACAAATTTCTACGGTAACACTAAACCCGTTTGCTTCAAAGATATCCAAAACGGCAATGTAGGTTGTCTAAACTTAGGCAGGCATGAACTCAGTGGCCTATAATAAAACTAGTTTGCCTTTTCTGCCCTGTAAACAAAATGAAGTTGCCCCTTGGTTAGTAATAAGAGATGTATAGGACCAGGTTCTCAAGTGCTTTGATGTGACTCCAAAATCATTTAATTGGAGTGAAGGTGATATAAAGCAAGTTCAAAATTGGGCACATTGTACAACTCACACTGATGCAGTTGGTTACCTTTGTAATGTAAGGAATAGTAATAGAAGACTTTTTACCACTCCTTGATACTTGACATTGGCATTCAAGCACATATCTGGAGAGATTAAACTCAGGAACTGTATTTTTAGCTGTTCAGTCAGAATAATTTGCTGCCTACCAAAGTGCCAATCTTGGGTTTTGAAGAAGAAAAATATGCTTTAGTCAAATATGTGTTTAAGCCTTGTTGGCCTTTACATAGTTATGACGTATATGTCCTGTCTTGATTACCCTTACCATTGCTTTGGTCTTGAAAAAGTAAAACAGGAGGTTAAGTAGTCCCTAAGGGTAACTTAAAATTTAGACTACTGCCATGTTGCATGGGTTTAGTATACTTAGTGTCATTCATGGCAAGTTGATGAGACTGCTCAAAGCTATAAAATAGCTTGTTAGGTAATGCCATTTAAGAAAAAAAGTAGTTCTGAAAATGAGCTTACTGTTTCCATATTTAGTGTTCTAATATTCTAACCAATGTATTTGGTAGTATTTGTGTTAGATATATAAAGCCTAACTCTTACGTTTCTGTTTCAGTAACATGCAAAATGGATTTTAAATATAATCCAGTTTGCTAATACAGTTATATCTTCTTCCTGATTTGAGGCCAGAAGGAAAGCCACTATGGTCATTTAGCCTCATTTCTTGCATGACATACATTGTAGGTATTTCATTAATTAGTTGTTGCTTAGAATTTAGCACCTGTGATTGAATTAGAGGACATCTTTTTAAAACAAAATGGTACCCCAAAATATCTTTAAACCTTCATTGGAAATCATCCAGAAGTACAGATTTTTTGCTAAATTTTTTGTGGTTGATTATTTTTGCTGATCAGTAGCCTGATTTGAACTTGTTTAGTTTTATTTTTATCACTTAGTTTCACTATAGCTTGTTTAACTGATATTGGTAGGTTGTATGCTATGTATTAAATCTTATATTAATGAAAGATTTCTTCTATGCGGTTTTAGGAATAAATACATAGATAGTATAGCATGAAGCGATCATTTACATATTACATGTTGCAAAGTTCTTTAGAGTTACTGTGAAAATAAAAGGGTACCAACCTCAAGAAGGTACCAACAAAAATCTGTAATATCATTAAGTAACTTAAAATTTTATCTGAGTTACAGATCTGGTTATTGTTTGCCATTTACGTTATGTTAAATGTTTTTTAAAAGTTGGGAAAATATTTGAAATGTGAAATATCAATAAATATCTTCTTATTTTACCACTGTGGTTGTTAAAACACTGCTTTTAGTTCTCTAATCATGTGCTCACAATACTGTCCTGTGTAACTACCAGGTGGTCTTTGATAAAAGGAGAAAGTTAAACAGGAGAAAGAGTGTAAAATTAAAAATTAGGCCTGTCAGAGAAGAGTATCAAAAAACCCCAAACAAGTATCCCAGGCAACATCTGGTGGCTCTGAAGCTAGGCAAGACAACTGAAGGGGACAGAAGAGGTAGAATGATCTGTTCCATTTTTCTAGACCTGTTTAGTAACGGCACCTTACAGGATAAAAGTGATGATTCCCTGCTTGTTTTACGTTGCTACGTGGATCACAAGAGACAGAGGAGGGCTAATTATCATGAGGCCTTCTGTGTCTTGTCTTATCTTGTTTCTACTTGCCCTGATGTTTCCACTTAGTGACCAGTACAAGCAGTAGCTAAACAGAGTTGATCCATGGGCATTAACCACTCCAAACATATTGTGGTGAATTTTACAATGAATATTTACTTGTGCTTAGGTGTCTTTTCGACAAATGTTGCTTAAGTCATGTGCATGTCATTAAAAAAAAAATGCTTAAGCTGTCTTGATATATAATTTTGAAGTTTATCCAACTAGAAACAAATTTGCTTATTTGTAATTTCTTGAATTTTTTGTAGAGGTTGGAATCTAGTGGTCCATCTGATCATTCCTGTGCTGTCTCTGAATTACTAAATGTAATTTAAAGTAATTGAGTTTCTCATGAAGTTCAATAAGGGGAAATGTGAAGTCTTATATCTTGGAGGAATAACCTCAGGTACTAGCGCACACTGGGGTCCAGCTGTCTTGAAAGCAGCTTTGCTGAGAAGGATGTTGGGATTCTGACTGTGAGCCAGCAATGCACCTTTGGTAAAAATGACAGATAGTATCTTGGGCTGCATTAGGAGGAGCATGATTGCAGGTTAGGGGAGGTGATTTTTCCTCTCTACTGAGCCCTAATGAGGCTGCATCTGGCGTACTGTTTGTAATTTTGAGTTCCCCGGTACAAGAAAAGCTACGGACTTACTGAAGCAAGTCCAGAGAAGGGTTCAAAATATGATTAAGAGACTGGAGTACCTGTGTATAAGAAGAGGCTGAGAGACCTGGGATTCTGCAGCCTAGAGGAGAGACAGGAGGACCTTACTGACGTGTCTAAGTACATAGTGGGAGGGAATGAACAAGAGTGAGCTAGCCTATTCACAACTTGTTAGTTGTGTGCACTGACAAGATGGGGCAATGGGCACAAACTAAAACACATGAAATTCCATCTGAACAGGAGTAGACGCTTTTTTATGAGTGTGATCGAACACTGAAACAGGTTGTACAGAGAGGTTGTATAGTCTCCTTCTGTGGGATATTAAAAAGCTGACCAGACAGAGTCATGGACAGCAGGCTCAAGGTGACCTGCCTGAGCAGGGGGGGAGGCTGGACTAAATGATCTCATGAGGTTCTAAACAATTCTGTGATTCTGCAAAATTTGAACAATGAAAGAGAGATGGTTTTAGTAAAAGTCAGGGAAGCGCATTTTGTTTAAACCCACTTAATGTTAGCAAGTCCTTACGACTAATAGGACAGCATTTTTGATCCAGCTCTGTATCCTTGATGTAAGCACCAAAGGCTCTCTTTCAGTTCTCCTCTGATGGCAGAAGCTTCAGAGCCTGTTTGTATTTCACCGATGTGCTCTTGGATGGATATGTTATTTAATTATGCATGTCAGGTGGGGTATTTGGCTGCATAAAGCAGTGTTCAACTGTAAAAGAACTTTCAGAATAACTTAAACTTTTGAATTGTGTTCTTTCATAACGTATTTTGCAACTTCAACACTCATTACTTTGTAGGCTGGCAAGTAGTGGTTCATCACTGATACTGGTGTAACAGGAAGTTAGTGAACCTATAATTATCTACACATCCTTCATAAATATGTAGGCTTAATGGTAGTTTGGCTCTGAGTACTTGCCAAGGAAGTTCTGCTTACATTCTGACCAGTAGATTATATGATTAGAAGAATAGCCAGGGAGTATCTCATGTGTAGAGGAATGAGCTGACTGTTGCCTTTTCTCTGGTATACTACCTAAGCCTAATTTCTAAAGATCAGAACTAATTAATTTCTTATGCGTCTTTGATTTACTGTATCTAAGTAAAATTCAGAATTTCATCAGTAGGAATTTTTAAACTAAATAAGTAATTTTAGGCGAAAAAGTACAGTTTTAGGAAAACTTCTATATAATAAGGTGCATTGAACTTTCTTTACACTGGGAAGCTTATAGACCAGATCTACTGCATGGCACAGTTTGTAGTTATACATTAGGTAGTTGAATGTATATAACTGATTCAGTACCTGCACTGTATACTTTTCAACATAGCTGATTGCTGTAGGTGAGCTAGGTGTTTTCCACAACTCAAAAAAAAAAAAAAAATTCAGAATACACTTGAATATTTCTGTGCCATACTTATGTACCACACAGACATATTTAAAGTGTACACCTCTACAGAGTGATACAAATGAATGTGAGCTGCTCTTTCTGTGCTTTGAGCTGGTCAATGTGAGTCCAGCTCAGGTCCAGAAATCCACATTGCTGTGTTAGTATGGTAGTATGTTAATCTGTGTTCTCTTTTGCTTTGCAGCGGTTATCCAGCAAGCTTGGATATGTAGCTTCCTCTGACTACCTCAGAATGTGGATGTGTGATTTCTGTACCCATCTGCATTCAGACGTAAATGTGAGTTAGTCACTGAATGAGAATGGATTTTACATAGCTTTGGTCAAAACTAATTGGAGAACAACATCTCAAAACTTTCTGGTGAAATCTGATTTTTAAGCTGCAACTGAAAATATATAAACAGATTAAGAATTTGGTTATGCAGTCCTGAGAAGAATGAACTTTCCAGTGAAGAAAAGGGTGAATATTTGTGGCAAAGGTTAAAATTCCTGGAATGTCTGTTTGTTAAGTTAATGATTAATTTTTTAAGTCCTAGAGTTTCAACATTTTGTATAAGGATTTCAGATTGTTATTTGGGGAACTGGAGAACTGTCCTCTAGTTCTAGCAATAATTCAGGCTCATAATTAATTGTAATACTTATTCTTTCAGTTTACAGGTGATGTCTTTTACATGCCATACTTCTGAAGAGTTAACGCTTCCCAAAGTCCTAACATTAACCTCCATGCTAAAACTTAGGTTACTTGCCAACTAACTTCTAACTTGAAAAAAAAGCAGAAAAGTGCCAAATTGAATTCTTTTTATGCTCTGTGGTTCCACAGACAGTGGTAAAACTGTACAGGTTAATCTAATAGAGCTTTTATTTCAAAACTGGAAAAAATTATGAAGGGAAAAATACTAGCACACTGGGAAAAAAACCCACATTTTTTACCAAAAATGGCAAA